TTATTTACATAATGCCTAACTTAGTTCAACAACTAATATTTAACATAGAATATTTCTTAATATTAACATAGTTACTTTTATAGCTACTTTACTTAATATAAAACTAGTTACCAATCACTGATTGTAGACTTTAGCACAGTTTTTTATTAGGGGGACAATGGTTATGGTTTTTATTACAAAATCTATCGTTGGGCTTTTTAATGTATGGTAACACTGTGACCCCAGCATGCCAGCAAATCTATCCTTTAGGCTATATGTACTGTAAATCATACCTGCTCCCATCGAGTCGGCTGTGTTGCTGGCACACTGAGATGACTGTAGAACAATCTTGCCATACACTACAAGCTTCAAGACACTTATAAATAAAAAAGTCACTTGGTACTTATCAAATAAACTAAAATAACCAGTTATGTCTTAGTTTCTGCATTCAAATGTTTTTACAACAAAATTATAATAAAAACATAACATAAGTTTAAACATAACTTAACAATGACCACAATGTACTTGATACTGGAGAGATTCAAAGCTAACTTTGCCTAGTAATATATGGCTTGGAGCTTAATTGTTGTACAAGTCCAGAGAAGAAAATAAAATAAAGAAACACAAATATCTTAAACATTCAAACAATTCAACAAATCATTGAAGCAAGCAAAATAAAAAAGTTAAAACCATTATTGTGGCAACACACAATTTTCAATAGTCTTTAAAAGTCATGAACAAAAAAAATACACTTACGACCTGTCCCACAACTGGCTGATAGAGGCTTAGATAGCTTAAAAATTACGTCTGTCAGATAAGGTAACAAAATCCGATATTTTCATCACATATTTTATTGGATTGTTATCAAACAATTTACAATTTGGTGGGACAGGCCCTTAGGGTAGTAAATATGGCAGTAAAATGTTATTAGATAAGGTCAATGCTTTCAAACCCACCCTAAGTTACCCTTAACTGTCACAAATATTCAAGACTGGCATGCCAGTTAGCGGTCACCTATGTCTATAGGTTGTTAACAAGCCAGCTATTTGCATGTGTATCCACTGTATTGGCTGAACATTTAATATGAAGGTTTTCATATAATTCTGATGTTGTTTTAGAATTTCAAACGTTGGGTAAATTATTACCCTACGTTTCTTACGCTGAAGGAAAAAATCGTGATGCAACTTGCACATGTAGACGAAGACATTTAAAGATATGTGTGAAGTCAACCAACCTGCACTAGGCCAGTGTGGTTAACTACGGGCTAGTAACCTTGCTTGTTAGCGTTATTAGGGTAGGCTTTGAGCCCCTCGGTGGGGACATATAGTGAGCTGGTGCTGATGATACATGATGACATCTTGACATGTATCATACTGACAATGCTTCTGTCAAGTGATTATTTCTCATATAACAATTAACTCCTATTTAGACTATATTCAACTTAATATACAGTAGCCAGAGACATGAATAACATCAAGTTATTAAAAATCACTATTTGACTCATTTACCTTAAAATAAATCATAAATAACAAGTTAAAAACCATTCACAAACACTAAACTTAACAATGTTTCAGATGTAAATGCATTTTCTCTTTAAGTCAGGAAAGATCACTTTTTCCCGCGCTTTTTCGGTGGTTCTTCATCAAAGTAATCATTGCTTAAATTATAATGAGAATTAATGTGTGCGCTTAATTTCTTTTCTCTATTGAAGATTTCACCGCAAATATTACAAGAATATTTACCATTTTCACTAACAGCAGTTTGAGCTTTAGCTATCTGCGTGGATGTTGTTATTTGCGATTCCTGTATAATACTATCAGTTGGTAAAACATAAGTTGGTTGGAGTAGAGGATCAACATTTATGAATGTAAAAAAGCTAGTATCTTTGTTAGGTGTTGCTTCATCTAAAATTACTGAAAAGGGTTCTTTACTCACTGATGCTGGACCTGGTTTCTTTTTTAATCTTTTTTTTGATGCATCTTCATTATCATGAGATTTTGTTGATATTAAGAGTTTATTGGGATTCCCCGTTTGAACAACTGTGTAGTTTTGTTTCTTCATAGCAGGTGTTGTAAATGATGCTTGGACAGTCGTCTGGAAGAGTCCTACAGGATATGGTTGACTTGCTATTGAATCTTCTGTTTTAGGCTTTATGTTAACTGATTTTGGCATTGGTTTATTAATAATGTTAGTGTTTTTGGAATTTCTATTAACATTTTTTGAATCGACTTCTGTGTTCTCAAGATCTATAATTACGGGTGATTCGTTTTTCATATTTTTGGATAATGGTTTATCTGTTTGGGAATTTTTAGGTATGTTATTGTCTGTTTCTGATTTATCTTCGACTAGAGTAAATGTATTATTTGGTCCCGGTACAATTTTATACCTACTAGACATATTTGGGGCCGCAAGAAGGTTTAATTGTGATGGATTTTGTTGAGTTTGTTTTGGAATGCTTTTATTTGAATCATCACTTGATTCAATTTCTGCAACATCTGAGTTTTTCGAACGTCGTCCAGTCTTACATGCGGGACCGATTTTTTTCTTTACATTCTGTTTTGGATTGCTAGATTGGGAATTATCAACATGTATTGCAGGTTTACTTTCAGCTGTTTGATTTTTATTATCAGGTACTCTTGTATTTATATATTTAATAGTACTAGGTTTTGGTGGTTCAGGTGGAATGTACATGTTACATTTTCCAATTTTGGGTATTCCATTTTTTGCACAGCCATGTGCTAAAACTACTTCTTTTTTCAAAAAGTTTCTGTTACATAGTTTACATTGAAATAGTACACCTACACCATTGACTTTAATCATAGTAACATGATCCATTATATCGAAAATTTTAGAATCATCGCTACATTTAGAACTAGATGTAGTCTCATCAGCTTTTTTAGTATTTGGTAAGTCAATATTCAAAGCTTCTTTATTATTCTTCGTATTTGAACTCTCTTTGTTAGTGACATTTTTAGTTTGCAATAGCTGTGATACATTTTCTACAGTATTTTGAATTGTTTTGTTTGAACGTAACGGTCTAACATTACTTCTATCATCATTTTTAATACTTTTTTGTTTATTTACTATTTCATCATCATCTGATTCTTCCTGTTCTTCAGTTGTAGGCTTTGGCTGAATTTTAGCATTTACATTTCCCTGACCAATCTTTTCGCTATCTTTAGAAGGCTTAACAATATCTTTAATTCCTTCCATAGCTTTTTTTATAAGCGCATGACAAATATCATCGTTTGACATGTTTGATTTATTTAACGATTGCTCCCAAAGGGCCCTTGCATTCTTTTTCATTTGAAGCGGCTCAGTTTTTCCTATTGTTTTACGTAAACTTTCTTGTGTTCCGACACATTTTTGTACAAACTCATAAAGTTCCTCAACTTTTGCAGAACATCGGAAACAGATCTTGTGTGGGAGGTCATCATTCTCTGCAACCTGGAATAATTGATACGTAAAATTAGTGGTTTAATAATTTTTTTTTATAGTTTAAGGTTACAAACAAGCAGCCAATGGAATTTGCAGAATCCACATCCTTTCCCATCCTTTTCTTGTATGAATAAGGTAAAGAAGAGGTTAATATTAGGCCTTCAACACAATACTTATCAGATGAAATGCAGATTGGCTTTCACTTAACACATGTTTATCATATGGTTGTGGTATCGCACCAGGTCAGCAAGCTTTAAATAGGCATGCAGATGTTAAAAGCTGTACCACTGTCACTAATATTATCTGCCACTGGTACTAATATTAAGGAGAAATGTATTTTTGTATGTTTTGAAATAACTAAGAAACTACTGGGACGATTTCAAAAATTTTTTTATTATCAAAAAACTATGTTATCAGTGAGAAGGCAATGTTTTTTGTAACTTTTAACAACAGTCTGTTATTAAATTGTTAGACAAGCTTAACTGTTTTAATCCGTGTGTTTGAATCAAAAATCCTTAGTGACAATGTTGTGTGAGTGGTGATTTTTTTTTTCACTGTCTAATAAATATCAACCAAGGGAATTGCAAAACCAATTTACTAAATCATCAATCAATAAAACCAATCTATTAAATAATTATAATTGACACATTTTTTCATTTAAAAACATAAAAACTTGACGGAAATTGTTTGTTAACTATGTTGGTCTTTCCATTCTTAAATGGTACATTTTATGCATAAAATAGATTGTAATATGGCTACACAATTTCTCTAATCTTACCCAGAAAGGCATTAACTCCTCAATTTTCTTCGCAGTGACTTTTTCCGAGTCAAAAATATTGTGAAAAGGGCCATCTTTAGATTCACACAATCGACACACTTTTAGAATTGATTGGTTAACACTGGTAATAGCAGAAGTAATGGCTTCTTTGTTAATTGCATCAAAATCTGGTGTGCTCACTACCTTCGTAGAATTAGATGTTTTTGATTTACTTTTTGTCTTTTTCTTAGCCATTTTGTTTTAAACTTGCTAAAACATGGACACTCTATTCTTATTATTGTGATTAGCTAAAAACGTTTTGTTATTATAAATCTTGTAGCTGATCTCTATTATAAATGCTTTTTAAAATATATCCATAAAAATTAATTATTGAAGTTACAAAAATATTTCATACGTGATTGTACGAAAAAAAACGTTTCTCCGCCGATCCACAGCCAGTAAGGTAAAAAAAAATATTTGACATTTCACTTAATAATTACTCAAAGAGTAAAAATTTTAATCTACGGAAAGCAGATAATAATATCGATTGCAAAAGGCTTGAATCCAAAACGGTGACACACACCGGCACCAACTCCAAGCCCAAGCAACTCCCCAGAACACTCCCCATGGTAAATACGGTAAAAATGCAGAGGGAACTGACATCTCTCCGCAAAGCCAGCTGATCTAGTCGGTCGTTGACGATCTTAGTAAATCTTCGTTGTATTCGCTCAAAAAGAAGGAGATGGGATGCTCCCGCCCAACTGCCTATAATGAGTACAATATTCGAAGATGGTGTAAACAGTTTTTCAACTTATTAACACTTATTCAGATTGTACCATAAATATTATGCCATTTTTTGGATTTTAAGAAGGCACTTATTTTTAGAGTGGCAATTAATGGTTTTTGGTCAAGTCGTCCGCCATCTTGAATTTAGTACAGTGCCAGTCGGGGGGGCGGTGACATACTTTACCCGTCATCGTCCTACATAATTATTTTAGTGGATTTGTTAAAAGGGAAAATAAGTGATTAATAGTGTAAATAATTAGTTTATGTCAGGTCTGAACGTGAAGATGGCGGGACAAACAATTAACGACAGGCTTTTAGCCGCCCGACACAGCATCGCTGGGCAGGGACTGGCGAAATCCGTTTGTAAAGCCACTACCGAAGAAATGATTGCTCCTAAAAAGAAACACTTAGACTGTAAGTATTATGAGGAAATTGATTGGAATATCGTTATTATCTTATCAGTATGTAATATACAACTTTCACTACATTGCGCGACATTCGCAAAATCTGCGATGTGGTCGATAATTCATGTATCGATATTGTAGTCGACATTGACCGCTTCATTTCACAGCAAATTATAATTCAAGAAAACTACTTTTAAATACACTATTAATTATGAAATTGATTTATATAATTTTGTCTTGTGATCAGAATGCAATCTGACACGGTTTTCTTATTATGTCATAAGAATAAATTTTTCGTAACTGGACGGTGTAACGAAAAAACAGTAAACCGCCTTCTAAGGAATTTACTGTAGTTTTATACTGTAAAAGATAAAATATGTACTGTTTGTTACATATACATAAAATATGCAACTCATGAAAAATATGCAGCATTTATTATTACTCCCTACCTTTATTCCAATAAGCATAACACTTGTACCATAAAATGTTATTTTGAAATAAGAATTACTAACTACAGAAGCCAATTTTCAATTATGCTTAGGTATTTAAAGTGCCCTTTGAAGATCTTTAAAATATGATTTGTAGTCTGATAAGCCATTTGTAACCCTAGCAATATTGGATAAATAAGTAGAAAATTATGCTTTATTCATGTTTGGACTGGCTTAATTACTGGACTCCAACTGGCATGAACAACACTAACTAGTGAGACAATGTATCCCTAGCCTGCATTACTAGTTAAGTGTGGACTAGTCACATTTAAGTTAAGAGTACCTGCATATTTTGTAAAGACAAAATGCTTTTTTAAAATGTATACTGACTTGCAGCAACATTGGCTTATCTTTTTTAATTATCCTTTGTCATTGAATTGATATAAAGTGGTAAAATGATAGTAAAGATAATTTGTAATGTTCTTTTTAATGTAACATTAATAAAGACTTATAAGAAGATAAAGATTTTCCACAAAAAAATCTATAAATGTAATTAAATTATAATGAAAAATTTATTAGCTTTGCTGAGAATTCTTTATTTCTATAATCTTATAACATTACAGTGAGAAGTATGTTAAAACACATTTAATCTATACTCTGTACTAATATTATAAAGATTTGTATTTTTGTATGTAATTGATTAACACAATAACTAGTGAACTGATTTTAAGAAGTCTTTCACCATTAGAAAGGTAATTTATCTGTGAGTAACATAGGCTATGTTTTGTTTTCTTTTTTAATTTCATGCAAATGGAGTCGCGAGCAACAGCTAGTACTATATATGCATGCAGCTACTATACCAGAGGTGGTGAATATTTATGCATCAGTGTCATTTTGTTAATGAAATGTTTAATGCGGTCTTAGATGTGCTATTGAATAATTTTGACTGTGATTATTATGCCAATTCCACTTTGCACCTACTTTTTTTGTAGTGTTTTTATGATTATTGATGTGCCCGAAATATTTTGTCATGTGACATTATGGTACCCAGTGGTTCATCACCCCTTTACTCTGTATAGTGTAAATAAGCAAAATTTTGTTTCATTGTATTTTATAATCATAATGTTTTTGCATCCAATGTAAACGCAGTGTAATTATTATTTTATCAATGGTATAAAATTTTTATCTTGAATTTGATTGCATATATGAAAATTTAATTACTCAATCTTTTCATAAAACTTTTAAATGCAGAGAAACTATAATTCAAATGCAGTATTGATTTTATCACAAGATTTAACAGAAATATCGCTATGACCCACAAAGATCTAGAGCTAAAAAAACATTTAATAAATGAGGAATTAATAGAATGTTCCCAGATTTTTGATTTGCTCCTGCATTAGGATTGTCAACAATACATTTTGAATAAATTGTTAGGAAACAATTTATTCAAAATGTATTGTTTTAAGGATTCTCTTTTTATATTTTCAGTTTATAAATCCACTTTTTACTTTATTATGGCATTAATATGGAGGCAAAGTTGCAATATGAGTTCTTTGATGGTCTCAATATTGGCACTATCTCCTGCTGGAATTTATCCAAATAATTAAGTTGTGGAAAGACATTTATTGCCAAGTACAGAAATGGAACTTCAATACTTCACTTCTTAAAGTACAGATTACAATCTCATAGACAGAAATTTGTAGTTTTAGCATGGCCTTCATTTAACCCCTTAAAAGCCCAGTATCTAAATCAAATTACAAAATGTATAAGTGTACCCTTACTGGGTTTTTTACTAAAGGGGAAGAATTGTAATAAAAATCAAAACAATGTCCCTATATATTTTTGTGATATGCTACTTTTTTTTCTAAATTCAAGATAATCAACAAGTTAACAGCCTAACACATTAACAGCCTAATATTAAAATAAAATCCATTGTAGCCCAATGCAATTTATAACCCCGGTATCAAATTCGAAACTTAAGTTTGTTCACCACCGCGGTGTTCTCGCCACTCGTTTGCTCCCTTTTATTATAAAAAAAGGTATTTCAGAGATAAATGTGGTTCCAGTATTTGGGTTTAAGTATATGGATTTATGATATCATCAATTGTAAGATATTACATTATTATTACATCTGTAGATATAGACCTAGAAAGAGATAGATGGATTGTGTGAAAGGTGACATGACCAAGAAGGGAGTGATGACTGAGATGACGGATGACAGAGTTATTTGGAGGATTATAACCCTGTGTGACAACCCTACAAAAGTAGAATAATGTAGGTGAGATTGTGAGATATTAGACCACTACATTTCTTTATTTCATCTATTACAGATGTCAAAGGGCATTCAATGACTATTTTAAGTCTACGGATTATGTGCCACTTTTAGAACATTTAATATGTTTTATTATGTAATTTTTATTCTGGTTTAGTTTTATTTCCTTAATACTATGTGGTAAATATATTTTGTGTATTTAATTTTCCCTCATTCCGTCATTAAAAATTGAGTCAATAGTAATTTTGGTTACATTCTACCCTGGAGTGTCACATGAGAAATAAAACTCAAGAAAAGCGAGTTTAAATCTGACACCCGGTAATTCTTTTTCATTGTCATATCTTTTTTTTAGATGTTTTCGAGTATATTGTAAAGTAATCAAGTGTTACATATAAAATTATAATTTATTTAGCTTAATTAACAGATTTAAAAATGTCAAGTTTCAAATGCATCCAATAGATGGCGCTATTTTATCTATTAGAGTATCAGTCTGTTTTTTTTAGTTGTTGAAAATCCTTAACTATATGAATAGAATTTTAACATGCATCTGTAAATGTCAAGTAGACAGGTCGAGTACACATTGAATGGAAACCCAATCATTTTATTTATTTCCGTTTTCAAATGAATATTTGAAAGCATCGACAAATATTGAAAAATATAACCAACAATACTATGCGTATTCTTGATTTATCTAGTGTGTGCATTTCTCGTACCTAAGGTCGAAACCTTGGGAAAGATACACTACAATATTGTGTTTTAACAATTAACAACACCGTAATTCATAAGTCAAGAATGTTTCACATAAGAATTGTTTATCAACTATGCGATTGACTACTCATAGAATACGATTCTATACTTTGATCCTTTTTGAGCCACCATTCTTGTTATGGAATCAGTTTTCATGGTATTTTGAAACCCTTTGATCCTTTAACTTCAAGTATACGAAAAGAACTTAAAGATAGATTATAAAGGGTTTTTGAAGTTATGTCTACGACCTTACGGCATCACGAAATCTTCAAGTTTTGCCTTGACCGTGATCTCAACTGCAATGGCGATATTAAATCGATATTTTTCGTCTAACAACCACATAAAGGTTTTAATTATAAATCATATACTAATAATATAAATGCGAAAGTTTAGATGGATGGACATTTGTTTGAGTTTTAAGCCTAAACGGCTGAAAGGATTTCGATAAAATTTGCTTTAGACGCAGGGGATAGTCTGGAAAAACACTTAGGTCACTCACTTTAGGTTTTTTTTAATACGACGCGGAAGGAGTCGCGTGCGTTTTCTAGTAACTTCTAAATGTAAGTGAAGCGGGTTGAAATATCCGTTCGATTTTTTTTTTGTGACTGAATGGCCACTGTTTGCCTTGAAGAGGCATTTACAGATTCACCGGGCTTGAGGTGGCCGAGCGCAGATGGCGCTTAGCCTAAACCTCGTTTATGAGTAACTGAGCTCGAGGGCTCCCTCAGGAGCCTCGGGGGGAGCCGTTACTTCGTTATTATTACCGGATTGGGAGGCCACCGAGCTCTTATCCGTTCGATATGCTATGTTAAAATACTTCTAAATCGATATACAGTTC